AATAGGTCCCTTTCTCATAAAGTCCTTGCCAGGTTTTGGTATCTAGATTTTCTGGCATCATAAAATGAGCTGGGGAGGGTTCCTGCATTTCTACTGCTCTTTGTAAGAATCAAAGATTTTCTTCCCATTGACGAATCCATCTAGGCCTGAAGTTTTCATTATGGAAAAGTAAATAAAATAACTATAGGTTCCATTTCTTTAGCAGATAGGGAACTACTCAAATTTTCTATTTTTTTCATTTGTCAGTTTTGGCTCTTCCATATTTTACAAAATTTGTTCACTTCATCTAAAATTTCCAACTTATTGGCATGAAGTTGGGTATATTTTGTCAAATGCCTGTAGGATTTGTAATATCCTTTCATTTCTGATATTGGTTGTATTTCTTCCTTTTTCAGTCTACCAGATACTTAACTATTATCCTTCCAAAGATTCAACTTTTGGCTTAGTTGATCCACTTTATCTTCATTTCCTACACCATTAATTAATTCTTGTTCTAATCTTTATTATTTTATTTCCTTTATTTTCTTCAGGTTTAATTTGCTATTCTTAGAACTTTTTGAGATAACTTCTAGGTTCATTTTCAATCTTTTTTTTTTAATGTGCATTTAAGACTATAAATTTCCTTCCAAGCATAGCTTTAGGTGTCTACTGTAAGTTTTGACACAAAGTATTTTCACTATTCAGTTCAAACATATTCTAATTTACATTGTAATTTAGTGTCTGATCCATGAGTTATTTAGAAGTGTATTTCTTAATTTATAAACTTAATAGAAATTTTCTATTTTTGAAATTGTTATTGTTTTCTAAGTGAATGAAAATGGCCAAAGAATATATTCCATCCTTATGACTTAGAATATGGTCAGTTTTGATAAATATTCTACCTTCATTTGAAAATAATGTGTATTTTGCAGTTGTTTGGTATTCTGTTTTATATATGCCAATTAGGCTAAGTTTTAAAATATTATTCCAGTCTTTGCATATTTACCTATCTTTGCATGGCTGCTGTTCTGTTACTAAGTATATTAAAATCTGGAATGCAGCTTTGTCTTTTCTCATTTTAGTTCTGTTCATTTCTGCTTAAATATTTGAGGCGATATTGTTAAATCATTATTAGACCTGTTGAAACTTTCTGGTGAATCAAATCTTTTATCATTACAAATTGTCTCTCTTTATGATACTTTTCACCTTAAGATCTACACTGAATAATGTTAGGATAGCCACCAAAGTCTCCTGCCCCATCATTTTTTTCGTATTTCACACTATAACTATTTCTGTTCTTATTTCCAACCCTTGTACTCCTATATTTAAGGCATCTCTTTCATAAAGGTACTTTGTGGGTTTTCTTTTCACTTTGATAATTTTTGCATTTAATTGGTACACTAACTATTCATATGAATGTTGTAACTGATATTTAGATTTAAATCTCCTAATCTACCATTTGATTTCTATTTGTCCTATTTTATATTTTCTCTCATTTTTTGCCTATTATTCCACTTTTGCCCTGTATTAATGTTGTAGTTATATGATTATTGTGCTTTTTGCTGTTCTTTTAGTGGTTACCCTATAGATGACAAAGCAAAGTCTAATATTACTTATACTTTTATCTTCTTTCTGATAATTCTAAAGACCTTGGAATTCCTGCACCAAATTTATATATTATTGTCATATGTTTTAAAATTATTTATTTTAAACTCTGAGACTATTTCATATAGTTATTGTTCACTTAGATATAACTGTATATTATTTTTAAAAATTACTGTTAATTCCTACTTTTATCCCTAACCTTTTTTTGGGATAATTTTCCTTCTGTCTGAAGAGTACCCTTTACTATTACCTTTAATGACAATCTGCTCTTAAATTTATTGTGTTTGAAAGTGCCTTTGGCTTCATTCTTTAAGAACTGTTTTTGGGTACTGAATTCTAAAATTGCAGTTATATTCTTTCAGTAACTGGAAAATATCATTCCATTGATTTCTGGTTCACATATTTTCTGTTGAGAAGTTAGCTGTCAGTTTAATAAAATTGTGGCTCCCTGAAAGGTAATGTCTTTTATCACATCTAGCTCCTTTAATGATTTTCTTTTTGTGTTTTATTTTCTCTTAGGATGTGCTAAGATGTAATTTTGTTTATTTATCATTCTTTGATCTTGCAGGTCTTAATGTGTTTTAAAAATTTGGAGAATTCTGAGTCGTTACCTCCTCACAGAATATGGCTTCTGCCATATTCTCTCTTCTCCTTCTGGAAATCCAGTAACATGTATGTTAGATCTTCTCACATTAATGCCATGTCTCTTATTCTCTCTACCGTATCTTCTTTCATCTCTTCATTTTTCACATCTGGTATTTACTTCTGATAGAATTTTTAGTTCACTAATTCCTACTTCACTGTATCCAGTTTCTATCAAATCCATTCACTGAATTCTTAAACTTGATTAATGTAATTTTAAGTTTGGGATTTGTCAAACTGATTCTTCTATATAGTTTTTGATTTTCTGCTGAAATTCTCAGTCTTGTGTTTTAGATCTTTAAACACACTAAACGTAGTAATTTTAGACCCTGTGTTGAGTAGCTCATTATCTGGATCCCCTGTGGCTCTGTCCTATCATTTGTTGCTTCTTTCGGATTTTGATCATGTTGCCTTGTTTCCTCAGATGCCTTAAATAACTTTCCAACACTAAATGAAAAGTTATAAAAATAACTCAAAACATCAGCCCAGAAAGCATTTACATTTGCTCTGGGTAGAGGTTAGAGCCAAGGGTCACGAATCCAGTTTTGGGAAGTGAGAACATCCTAACTGCATCTGGTTTTTCTTCACTCTTAACGATTTGGATATTGTCCCTTGGGGTCACAACCCAATGTATGGTCAGTTACTAGGGTTCCTTTCCCTTCCCCTACTTCCTTAGAGCCTTGGTCTCCAGTTCTTGTCCAACTCAGCAGCAAGGCTGTCATAAGTATTACTTAGCATCTCTCAACCACCTTATCCTGAATTGTCATGTCTTCTAAAAGAAAAGAAGCCCAAAACTTGAGCTCAGGTCTCTAGGTTTCATACTGCCTTAGATCTTAGTGATGTTATTCTTCACTGTCTTTTGGTTCTCTAATACCCTTAAGCAGATTTTAAACATTACTTTGCTTGGCTTTTCCAGTTCTCTGAAATAGCTGTTATGAATGTACCTCTAAAAGTCAGAAGTAGAAAAGTAGGTATTAGGGAAAATTCAGTAAGGTCAGTGTTAGCCCAAACTGCACCATTTTGTAAGCTCCCCATTATCCTTCAGAACTTGATCAAAGTGAAATATTTCACAGGCATTCGCGCAGTGAGAAGCATCCTGCCTAACCACTGGACCCAAGGTGGACAAAGGCCCAACTAAAGAAACATCCCTATCATATCTTGTTGGGCAAAGGCCCAAGGAATGCCACGATGACATCCTGTGAGAACAAGGGCCAGAACCACCTCAACAAAGGAACAGCTTATCAATACCTTGCCGGGCAGCAAGCCATACTGCTCAGACCCCTCCCATCCATACCAATAAGTACACCCTCTCTGTAAGCAGCGGTGGGCTCTGGCATTAAGCTGGTCCCCTACTTCTGCAGGTTTTATGCTGGACATAAATTAAAGTGTGCATCTGCTCTCAAACCACCTTCTTTCTGTGTGTGTGTCTTTCTTTAACTCTCACCTTCCCTTCAAAGTCTGAGTCAGTTTTTAATATATCAAGTGAAGATATCAAATAAATAATATATATAGATTCAGTGTAAGAAGAGAGGTTGGGTTAGGTACACATATTTGATCATCATCAATTTATTGATACTTCAAATCTTGAAGTAGATGAGATTATCTATGGTGAATGTAGATATACAAAGTAGGGCCTAGAATCAACTGTTGAGAAATTCTAAAATTTAGAGGTCAGGTAGAAGAGGAAAGCAGCAAAGATGACTGAGGAGTTGCTAGGAAGATAAGTAGAAAGCAAAGATCGGCTGGGCGCAGTGGCTCACGCCTGTAATCCCAGCACTTTGGGAGGCCGAAGTGGGTGGATCATGAGGTCAAGAGATCAAGACCATCCTGGTCAACATGGTGAAACCCGTCTCTACTAAAAATACAAAAAATTAGCTGGGCACAGTGGCGTGTACCTGTAATCCCAGCTACTCAGGAGGCTGAGGCAGGAGAATTGCCTGAACCCAGGAGGCGGAGGTTGAGGTGAGCCGAGATCGCACCATTGCACTCCAGCCTGGGTAACAAGAGCGAAACTCCATCTCAAAAAATTAAAAAAAAAAAAAAGAAGAAGAAGAAAGCAAAGATAATGTAGTATCAGGAAAGTCCAAAAGAAAACACAAAAGCTGATTCAAGGAATGGTCAAATGTGTCAATTACTACTAGTTGGTTTGACAATAAAAAGGTCAATAGTGACCTTAATAAAAACTTTTTTTTTAAATTTAGAAGAGTAGTGGAGATGGAATCCAAATTTGAATGGTTTGACAAATAAATGAAAGAGAAAACTTGGCCATGAATGAAATGGAGATGTGGGAGCAGTTTGAGGAGGATGCAAGGTTAAGGGAAGGCATAGGTTGGCATTATTATCATAGTGAAAATCTCTAAACAATTTAAATTCTCACTATTTGGGGGACAGAGGTCCAATAAATAATATCTATCAACAGAGTATCATGCTGTCATTAAAACTGATAATTACGGCCAGCCGCGGTGGCTCACATTTGTAATCCCAACACTTTGGGAGGCTGAGGCGGGCAGATCATAAGATCAGGAATTCAAGATCAGCCTGGCCAACATGGTGAAACCCTGTCTCTACTAAAAATACAAAAATTAGCTGGGCATGGTGGGGCAAACCTGTAATCCCAGCTAGTTAGGAGGCTGAGGCAGGAGAATCGCTTGAACCCAGGAGGTGAAGGTTGCAGGGAGTTGAGATCGTGCCACTGCACTGCAGCCTGGGCAACAAAGAGAGACTCCATCTTAAAACAACAACAACAAAAAAAACAAAACAAATAAAAACCCTGATAATTATGAAGTACTTTTAATGACATGAGAAAATATTTCTACATGATGAAGATACAAAGGTGTACAGCTAGTAAATCTCAATTATGTAAATTAAATCATAAGTCTGAGATGTGAACTCAGAGTAATACAAAATCTTAATAACTATATTACCCCCCCCAAAAAAGGTAAACATACAGATCTCTTGAATTCATTATCTGAAAAATGGTCCAAAAAGTTATCCTTTAACATTATTAGGGTGAATTGGTCCACATACTAAATGGAATATTAACAGTTTAACTGGTACATTTCATATAACTTGCACGATTTCTAAAGAGAATGCATTACTCTATTACAAATCTAGGGGGCTCCTATTGATTTAATTGGAAATTAAGTAAGAACTAGAGAATGTGATCTCTCAACTGATGCAGATTCATTGTTAATCCCCCTTACATGTATATGTAAAAGGTTCCTAAGCAAGAAGAGAATGTAAATAAAATTCAGATCACATTATAAAAATTTTCTTCTCATCTCCTTCTGACTTTAGTTCATATCCCTTAAGAAACTAGTGATTGGTAGTCCTGTTGGGTAAATCATTTTTTCAGAAGCAGTAAATTCAGTTGAAAGAAATATATAATGATTCAGATCTATGCTCTAGTAGTCATATGCAGATTACCCTAACATTGCTCTTCCTGTGAACATTCACATGATAAATAGGATAAACCCTGCTCCTTTCACATATGTCAAAAGGATACTTGAAAAGGATATTTGTGAACTGAAGTCTATGAAAGGAAAGTACATGCTTTGTATAAAAACATTCAGACAATATTAGATGATAAAACAGCACATAGGAAAACACTATAAATATATTTCAAACAAATATATATACATTATGTTAACCTTGAACAGGATCCATTATCATTACTTAGAACACTGATATGCATATCTTTTAAGTATGTAAAAATTACATAGCTGTTAACTTAGTATGGCAAGTCACCTATCACACATTTAAGAAAGCATTAAACAATTCATTATGTAATGATTATACAAATGTTTTATCATATTTTACCAAAGCCTACTAAAGTACAGAGGGCACAAATAATAGCCAAATAGTTCTATACTTTTATGTTAGACAAAAAGATGATTTTGTTGCTTTTTAAAACCATTAAGATGGCTAAGGGAACCAACTTTATGGATCTTAGCTGTTCTCAGGCATCTGAATGGGGTGGGGTGAAGTCTTATGAAAGTTACAAAAACCACAGTTACTTTTTAGAATGAAAAAAATAAAAATTTTGCAATGTGATGACATGACAAGTCAAAATGAGCTTTAATGCAAATGTATATGGAGAGGTTTTGAAGAATAAATTGGATATCCCAGGGGAGGATCTGCTGCTTGTACTGTAAGATTTCTTAAAAGTAGTGGATGAGCTTGTATACTATAACGTTCTTCATCATCATTTGTGGCATAAAGTAACTCCCATGAGAGATTGGCCCACTGACCTTTAACAGCTTCAGCATTTAACTTTCCCACTTGGACCAATAATTCTTGAAGGCTAAGTACTCTCCCAGTGTAAACTCCCTTTAAAGTAAAAAGGGTGGTGGTGGGGGAAGAGAAAAAGAAAAGAGATTACATTTAGGTCTTTGTATTTTATTTATAAACTTAGAGAAAAATTGCATTGTAATTAGGCAAACTTTTCCCAAGGTCGGAAAACAGAAAGTAGTATTTAAAAATGTACATAACAAGTGGCTTGTACTCAGAATCAAGAATCACCTCTACTTTCTTGGTCCTTTAAATAAAAGTTTCCTGGCAGCTCTCTCAATCACCATTAGGCAAAATCTTAGTCACTTCCTTTGTCTGTCTTTTCTAATCCGTTGCCTTGGTGATGCATAGTCATAAATACCATTTGGTGTTGAATGACACAATAGGCTCTTTTTAAATAAATAGCTTCGTTGAGATATAATTCACGTTTCATACAATCTACTTACTGTATGCAATTCAATGGTTTTTATTAGAGTCACAGATATGTACAACCATAACCACAGTTAGTTTTAAAATATCATAACCTCAAAAAGAAGCCTTGTACTCTTTATCACCATCCTATCTCCTCATTGACCCTTTCCTAAGCAACCACTAACATACTTGTTATGTTTATAGACTTGCCTCTTTTGTAAATTTCATTTGAAATGAATCCTATAATATGTGGTCTTTTGTGACTGATTTCTTTCACTTAGCATATTTTCAAGGTTCATCTATGTTGTAGCATGTATCAGTATCTTATTCCTTTTTATGGCAGAATAATATTTCATTATATACTAAAATTTGTCTTCAGCAGTTGATGCACAGTTGGGTTGTTTCCACCTTATAGCAATTAAGAATAATGTTGCCATCAACATTTATGTACAAGGTTTCATGTGGATCTATGTTTTCATTTCTCTTGGGTAAATATACTTAGGGGTATACTTGCTAGGTCATATGTTAACTCTCTGCTTAACTATTTGAGAAACTGCTGTAATATTTTCCAAAGTGGCTCCACGATTTTTACATTCCCCAGAGCAGAAGAGGATTCCAATTTCTCCACATCCTTGTTAACACTTACTTTCAGACCTTTTGATTTTACCATTCTGTGTGTGTGAAGTGATATTTTATTGTAGTTTTGATTTGCATTTCCCTGATGACTAATTATATCAAGCATTTCTCATGTACTTATTTGCAACTTGTACATCTTCTTTAAAGAAATGTCTATATAGATCCTTTGTCCACATTAAAATCTGTTTATCTTTTTATTATAGAGTTGTAAGAGTTTTTTTCTTTTAAATATATTCTAGTAACAGTCCCTTATTAGTATGTGCAAACATTTTTCCCATTCTGTGAGTTGTCTTTTACTTTTTTGATGGTGTCCTTTGAGGGACAAAAGTTTCTACTTTTGATGAAGTCATATTTATCTATTTTTCTTTTGTTTTTCATGCTTTGGTGTCGTATCTAAAAATCTGTTGCCAAGTTTAAGATGATGAAGATTTGCCCTTATGTTTTCCTTCTAAGATTTTTATGGCTCTTATGTTTAGGTCTTTGATGTATTTATGAGTTATTTTAAAAGTATGGTATAAAGTAAGGTCTGTAGTGGGTTGAACAGCATCTCTTTGAAGTTACCTGTGAATGTGACCTTATTTGGGATGAGTTCTTTGTAGATATAATTAAAGATTTCGAGATGAGATAATCCTGGATTTAGGTGGGTCCTAAATCAAATGACTGATATCTTTAGAAAGTAGTAACAGAATTGACACAAGAGAATATAGGGAATAAGGCCCTGCAAAGATGGAGACAGAGACTGGAGTTATGCAGTCACAGCCAAGGAATGTTAAGGGGCACCAGAAGCTGGAAGAGTCAAGGAAAGATTCTTGCCTAAAGCCTTCAGAGGAAGCGTAGCTCTACTGGCACCTTAACTTCAGCCTTCTAACCTTTAGAATATGAGAGAATAAATTTCCATTTTTTAAAAGTCACCCAGTTTGTAGTAGTAATTGTTGCAGCAGCCCTGGGAAACTAATACTAGTAATCCAACATTTTCTTTTGAATGTGGCTAACCAATTGTCCCAGCACCATTTGTTAAAAAGATGATTTTCCCAGTGAATGGTCTTGGCATCCTTGTTGAAAATTAGTTGGCCAAAGACCCATGGGTTTATTTCTGGATCTTCAATTCAATTCCACTGATTTATATGTCTATCTTTATGTCAGTACCATACTGTATTGATTATTGTTTCATAAAGTTTTGAAACTTGAAAGTATGAGACTGCCAATTTTCTTTTTCAAGATTGTTCTGGCTATACAGGGTATCTTGAAATTCCATATAAATTTAAATCAGCTTGTCAATTTCCACAATGAAGCCAACTACAATTCTGAAAAGGACTGTGTTGAATCTGTAAATTTGGAGAGTATTGTCATCTTAACAATATTATTTTGGTCTATGAACACTGGATATTTTTCTATTTATTTAGATATTTAATTTCCCCCTTTAACAGTGTTTTGTAGTTTTCAGAGTATAAGCTTTGTACTACTCCTGTTCATTTTTTCCTAAGTATTTTTCTTTTTGATGCTATTTTAAGTGGGATTTCCTTAACTTTATTTTTGTTTTATTCATTGCTGGTGTGTAGAAATTCACCAGATTTCTGTATGTTGATCTTGTATCTTGCAACTATCCTGAATTTATCAATTCTAAGTTTCTTAGTTGATTCGTTAGATATTCTACACACTAAGATCATGTCATCTGTGAATAGAGATAATTTTACTTCTTCCTAAACTGAATGCCTTTTATTTCTTTTTCTTGGCTAATTACTCTGGTGTCTTAGCTTAGGCTGCTATAACTAAATACCATAGACTAGGTGACTTAAACAAGAGACATTTCTTTCTCATAGTTCTGGAGGCTGGGAAGTCCAAGATCAGAGTGGTTTCATGGCTGGGTTCTGATGAGGGCTATCTGGGTTCTGATGAGGGCTATCTTCCTGGCTCATGAATAGCCATCTTCTTATTCTGTTCTATGGCAGAGAGACGGGAATCTCTGGGTTTCTCTTACTCTTCTTATAAGAGCACTAATCCCATCATAGGACTCCATCCCCATGATCTCATTTAAGCCTAATTACCTCCCAAAGGCCCCACCTCCTAATAACATCATGTTGGGGGTTAGGCTTCAATATATAAATTTGGGGTATATATAAACATTCAGTCCATACTACCTGGCTAGAAGCTCTAATACAATGTTTAATAAAAGTGGTACGAGTAGACATTCTTGTCTTCTTGATCTTAGGGGCAAGCATCCAATCTTTCACCAATAATTATGATGGTCATGTGAGTTTTTCATAGATGTTCAGGTTGAAGAAGTTCCCTTCTTTCCTAGTTGTTTTTACTATAAAAGGGTGCTAGATTTTGCTAGTTTTTTTATATCTACTGAGATGATGTGATTTGTCTTTTATTTTATATATTACATATTTATATATTAATAAATTATATATGTTATATATCATAGAGCTTCCTGTGGTCAAGCAATCTTCTTACCTCAGTCTCCAGGGTAGCTAGGACTACTGGAACACACCACCATGTCCGGATAATTGTGTTTCTTTTTTGTAGAGACAAGGTCTCACTGTGTTGCCCAGGCTGGTCCTGAACTCCTGGACTCAAGTGATTCACCTGTCTCAGGCTCCCAAAGTGCTGGGATTACAGGCGTTTTCTTAAATCCAGTCTGATAATCTCTGCCTTTCATTTGGATTATTTAATCCATTCCCATTAATTTTATTATTGAAATAGCTGAATTTTGTCTATCATTTTCCTTTCTGTTTGTCTTATATCTTTTTTACCCCTCTATTTTCTTGACTTTCTTCTGCATTGATATTTTGTAATATGCTAAATTTCTTTAATTATTGTTTTCACTTTTTTTCTCAGTTATTTCTTCAATGGTTGACTAAAGCTTACTATCTCTGTCTTACAAGAATCAGCTTCAGATTTATACTAATTGTGGTGAAACAGAAATATTACTCTTACAGAGTTCTAGTTCCCTTTCTTCCCTTTTGTGGTATTGTTATACATATTACATTATAAATGTTATAAAGCCAACAGTTCATTGTTATAATTATCACTTGATATAATTTTATGTCTTTAAAAGAAGCTGAGAGAAAAGGGAGCAAGTATACATTTATTGTGCTTGTTATATTAATTATTTTTATTTCTTTGGAGACAGGGTTTCCCTCCCTCACCCAAGCTGGAGTGCAGTGGTGCAATGATAGCTCACTATAATCTGAATTCTTGGCTCAAGTAATCCTCCCACTTCGCCCCTCAAGTGGTAGATAGGACTACAAATGCACGCCACCACACCTAATTTTTATTTTTTGTAGAGATGGGATGTTGCCATGTTGCACAGGCTTGTCTGGAAATCCTGGTCTCAAGCAATCCTTTTGCCTTGGCCTCCCAAAGTGCTGGGATTATAGACATAAGTTGCCATGCCCAGAGTTGCTGTTAGCCTTTTTTTTTTTTTAAGATGGAGTCTTGCTTTGGTCACCCAGGCTGGAGTACAGTGGCACAATCTCAGCTCATTGCAACCTCCACTTCCTGGGTTCAAGTGCTTCTCCTGCCTCAGCCTCCATAGTGGCTGGGATTACAGGCACCTACCACCATGCCCAGCTAATTTTTTTTTGTAGTTTTAGTAGAGATGGGGTTACCTTTACTGGTGCTCTTTGTTTTGTGTGTTATTTGAATTATTGTCTGTGGTCACTTGCTTTCAGCCTGAAGAACTCTAGTATTTCTTGTTAGGTGGGTTTGGTAGCAACAACTTCTGTTTTTGTTTATCTGGGAATTTATTTTCTTTCATTTTTGAAAGATCACTTTGCTAGATATAGGGTACTTGGTTAAGTTTTTTTGTTTTGGGAGATTTTTAGGGGGCACTTTGAATATGTCATTCCATGCTTCTGGTCTCCACTGTTTCTGATGACAAGTCAGGTGTGAATTTTATCAGACTTTCCTTAAAATGTACAAGTAGTTTTTGCTTGGTGCTTTCAAGGTTTTCTCCTGGTCTTTGATTTCAGCATTTTTACTATGATATATTTGCTTGTGGATCTCTTTGCATTTATTCTAAAGTTCACTGAAGTTTCTGGATGTGTGGATTAATGTTTTACAATATATTTAAGAAGTTTCAGCCATTATTTCATCAAATAATTTTTTTCTCCCTTCTCTCTCTCTCTCCCTTCTCCTTCCGGTATTAAGTATATGTTGGAGCACTTGATGGTGTCCCACATTTCTCTGAAGCTCTCTTTTTTCTTTTATTGTACTTTAGGTTCTGGGGTACATGTGTAGATCATGCAGGACTGCCGCACAGGTACATACATGGCAAAGCGGTTTGCTGCCTCCATCCCACCATAATCTATATCTGGCATTTTCTCCCATGTTATCCCTCCCCACCCTCCACTCTCCCTCCGCTAGTCCCATCAACTGACCGCAGTGTATGATGCTGCCCTCCCTGTGTCCACATGTTCTCATTGTTCAACACCTGCCTATGAGTGAGAACATGCGGTGTTCGATTTTCTGTTCTTGTGTCAGTTTGCTGAGAATGATGGTTTCCAGATTCATCCATGTCCCTACAAAGGACACAAAGCCATCATTTTTCATGGGTGCGTAGTATTTCATGGTGGCTATGTGCCACATTTTCTTTGTCCAGTCTATCATTGATGGGCATTTGGGTTGGTTCCAGGTCTTTTCTATTATAAATAGTGCTGCAATGAACATACATGTGCATGTATCTTTATAACAGAATGATTTATAATCCTTTGGGTATATACCCAGTAATGGGATTGCTGGGTCAAATGGAATTTCTATTTTTAGATCCTTGAAGAATCACCGCACTGTCTTCCACAATGGTTGAACTAGTTTACACTCCCACCAACAGTCTAAAAGTGTTCCTATTTCTCCACATCCTCTCCAGCATCTGTTGTCTCCAGATTTTTTAATGTTCACCATTCTAACTGGCATGAAATGGTATCTCGATGTGGTTTTGATTTGCATTTCTCTAATGACCAGTGATGATGAACATTTTTTCATGTTTCTTGTCCTCACATATGACTTCTTTTGAAAAGTGTCTTTTCATATCCTTCACCCACTTTTGAATGGGTTTGTAATTTTCTTGTAAATCTGTTTTAGTTGTTTGTAGATTCTGGTTATTAGCCCTTTGTCAGATGGGTAGATTGCAAATTTTTTTTCCCATTCTGTTGGTTGCCAGTTCACTCTAATGATTGTTTCTTTTGCTGTACAGAAGCTCTTAAGTTTAATCAGATCCCATTTGTCCATTTTGGCTTTTGTTGCCATTGCTTTTGGTTTTTAGTCATGAAGTCCTTGCCTATGCCTATGTCCTGAATGGTTTATTAATTCTTTTCTCTTCTTTGGATTACATAATCTCTACTGATCTAGAATTTTCAAGTTCACTAATTCTTTCTTGTGTCAGCTCAAACCTACTGTCAAGCCCCTCTAGTCAATTTTTCATTTGGTTCTTTTTTATAATTTCTATCTCTACATACATTCTCTATTTGATGTGAGATTGTCACCGTATGTCCTTTGGTTTCACCATACTATCAACCATGGTTTCCTTTAGTTCTCTCAACATATTTATAATGACTACCATGAAATCTTTGTTAAATATGACATCTCTTCCTCTCACAGACAGCCTGGTTGTCTGCTTTTTTCCCCTGGTATAGGGGTTATACTTCCCCATTTCTTTGCATGTCACAATTTTTTGTTGAAAATTGGATATTCCAGGCAACACTAGAAATTCTGGGTGCTGGTCCTCTTCATTCCTAACTCCAGGGCTTATTATTATTATGTACTGTTTGTTTAGTGACTGGCTGGCTTACTGTAGTAAAGTCAATCCCTGTCTACTCCCTACTATCCCCTGCCCAGTCTGAAGTCTCAGATACGGCCTCTCATAGAGAACAGCCAAATTGTGAATGCACACAGTTACCTTGGGATGGTTTTGGCAGGGCTATCTTGTTTGTTAAGTGTTCATACCCAGCTGTTAAGCTCCACTGCTTGCCATCTGGTTACTCTATGTTTTCAAGAATGACCTGGGGCACAAATTGCTCCACAGACTGATCCAATTAAATGTGAACTTCTTCAAAGGAATAACTTTGATGTCAGTGTTTGAGATTTGTTCTGATCCCAGGAAGGCTCTTTGCTGTTTCTTCCCCTGAAAAAATATAGCCACTTTACAGTTCAGTTTAATGAACCTACCGGTCTCCTAAAAATAACTTTTCACCACAGCCTCCACTGTTTTTGTTCTTTCCCTTTTTTGACATTATCACGAAACAGCAAGTCCACTGTTTTTAAGAGCATTTTGGGCTTCAATATGTCTACACTCTGTTGCAGATGAATCAGTTCCTCAGAGATTCAGAGCTTTTTGTTGTCGTTAATAATTTGCTTCTCCCATTGGGGAAAATCTCTGAGCCAGACTTCTGGATGTGAAGGATGGGGCAATAGCATGCTTCTCTCTTGAGTGACACTTCTGCTTTTGGAGATAAGCACTTAGTGGAGGGAAGGAGTAGCCTCAGGTCTTTCCAGCTTGCCTTGCCCAGCATTGAACCTCCACATTATGAGTGGGCAAGAGTAATCAAGGCCCCAGTATTTTCAGCAGTATCACACCCAAGATAAAGTGTTCATCCCATAAGTGCTAGGGTAGGTCTTGGCTCAAATACTGCAGTCTCTTGCTATTCTCACTGGGTTTTAGCAGATTTTTTTGAATAAATGTGTGTTCGTTTGCTGTACATTCTTAGGTGACTTTCTAAGACTTTAAATGGTTATTTTAAAAAAATTTTCATCAGTTTCATTGGAGAGTGCATTTGTAGAGCTCCTCAAAACATAATGTAAGACAGAAGAACCCATAATAAGCTCATAACATTGAGACTTTCATATTGTGTTCACTTGATGACATTTTAAATACAATAAGGACAAGTACTAAATCTTAAAGAGTCAACCCTTATTCTAAGTCTCTGGATTTTCACAGGCTAAGTTTGCTTCAATACAGTATAAATGTAAACAAAATACTTTGTCATTTACAAATAAACTTTTCTAGTAGTCAAATCCAAGTGATAATTCATACACTTGAACATAGGAATACAATTCATTTAATAAAATATGTTGTATCATAGCATACTACACATACTTGGCTCTCTTATATGTCAGGTATTGTACTACAGCTATACAACATTTTTCATTGGCTCCTCTTCAGTTGGAAAAAGTAGAGAAACCAACTATTCTAGAGTTCATATAGCTTAGCCATAAAGTCATGATTACAAATGCCTTAAAACTATAATTAATATATCACAGCTAGAATGTTACATCATGTATCATTTAGCTCAAACATTTTATAACTGATATCCATTCTTCAAGGTTAGTGTATGAAAATGTTGAAAAATTTTTTAAACTTACCATGTTAGAATCATACCCCAGAGAAAACAAGTATGGCTTTTCTTGTAAAACTGCTTCCTTCCACTTTTCCTCAGATACCAAACCAATGTACCAGTCACGTTCATATTCTTCAAGGTAGTCAATCAATTCTCTAAAGTCTTCTATTGGACCTAAACTTGCTTTATCAATCATTAGTTTCAGCGTATACCTAAAAAATGAAGAGGCAAAGAATTTTAGAGTATTTGTTGTCAACTTTATAGATCAAATAGATTTTGTTAAATCAATATTTTAAAGACACTGAATGGAAATCATAAAAAGTGAAGGGAGAAATGATGCAGTTCAAATGAAGAAATCCAGTAAGCCATAATAAAAAAGGTTCTCCACATAAACAAAACCAAAGGAAGTACAAATTGAAGTGTACTCTTGATATAATCACACTACATATATTTTTTCATTTTGAAGAAAGTAAACTTTAAAAAATAGAAACAAAGGACTATCTTCTTAGAGGTGACTTAGAAAAATCAACATTTTTCTGCCAATGTTACAACTTGTATATGATCAAAATAGATTACCTGAATGCTTTCAGTGCTAGTTGAAACAGTTCTGGCTTTTCTGTGAGCCAGTCCAAAGCAACAGACCAAGGCAAAACACCACTGTAAACTCTCAATATATGACCAGGACGAGGAGTCATATTGTCTATTCCAAATAAACTAAAATAACAAGTCATTACTGTATGAACATAAAATTCTTTTAAAACTTTGTCCTTTGCAATTTCTTCCAGTACATTTGAAGCCTTTTCTTCTGAATGAAAACATTCCAACTGCCTTAAAACAAATTGATACCAGTCTTCTGGAAATAATGAGCTCATCTCCTTTATTTTGGAATTAGGCATACAGCTAGTCCTCCACTCTGCAGGTAAGCATACTAAGTGAGAATGTGAACAACTGAACTCCATGAGAGGAATATATGGCATGTCTTCTTGTTTTCCTTTGTCAACAGCAGGGTATCCTAAAAAAACTGCTTTGTAAAGATCATTTTCAGGAACTGTGCCTGTAGAATGATCACTAACCCTCTGTGATTCTACTGATCCTGGGATAAACAAATTTGTACCTGGCAAATCTTTCAACTGATGTTTTTCTTCTATTACTTTTCTGATAGTTGGCTCATCATCAAAAATATTATCATCAGACCAGTCATCAAAAGTTTCTGAATTTAAACTATCTATGTCTTCTGCGGATTTGGGAGGCAGTGAAGTTTTCAAAGCAGGCAAGATTAGAGGTCCTTTCTCTTTATTTTCAGTGTCGTGAACACTCTCTTTCATGCCAGGCCTTTTGGAGCAGTACTGAACAAGTATCCACACAAGTACTTTAACGAGGTCATCTTTAAATTCTTTTAAGTTTTCATGAGAATCAATTATGCCTGATAGAACATTCCTGGCATCAGAATATAATTTCACAGGCAAAATAGTACAGGGTGTCAAGACATTTCCAAAGTGCTTATTAAGAGAACGTACTCTTATGTATTCTTGCTCAAAAGCATCTTCAAAAACTTCATCAACTCTGCGAGCTTCTGCAGTATGACAGGATGTTTCCTGCAATTCTAACCCCTACAGAAGAAATAAAAAGTACTGGAGTTTATTATCATATATTACATAGAATACAGCAAATAGTCATGTAAATACCCATAGATTCTCATCACAAAAATATGGAACATAATGAAAACAATTTAACTCAAGAGCAACATCCTGACTTAAACTTAATGACACTTAACACATTTGACACTGGATAGAGATTAAAAGTAATGCTACTGTATTTTTGAAAATGTGAAATTCTACTAGAAACTGGGCAAATTTATTAGGTATGATTATAATTTTAAAAGACTATATTCATAGTCAAGACTGAACCACACAGTAAAAACTTTTAAATCATAATTCTGCAAAAAGCTGAAAAAAGCAAAATTAGAATTATAGAGTATATACAGTAGTATTGTATCATTTCCATACCACTTGATGAGACCAACAGCATTATTCAATTGTATGGATGTGCCAGAATTTATCATCCTACTGTTCCAGATTTATGATTACATCATAATGCAGATTTACTTCTTTGATTACCTTGCTTACTGCTGTATCAGTAGTGCCTAAACCAGTATCTGGTACACAGTGGGAATGCAACAAATATATGCTGAGTGAACATTATCAATATGTCCTTATATAAATTTTAAACACAGTTTGATTACCTCCTTAGAAGGAATCACTTAAAGAGGATGTATCAGGTCACTATTTACTAATACAATACCTATTGCTATTGCTTATTTATATATTTTTACAAAGCTATCAGTACAGAACTTGTTTATAAGTCATGGCTCTACCAGGTGCTAGCATACAACTTGAGCAGGTCACCAGCTGCTGGGGTTCACTCAGGATGGTGGCAGAAATATTAAAGGGAAGTTACAGAATATAGTCAAAAACCTTTTTGGAAGGCCAAAAGGTTTTTTATTACTCAGCTGAAAGCAATCTTGTCCCTTTAGTTAAATAATTAAATAAATCACCATATTCCTTTGCTTCTACTCTAGCTTGTTTACTCATGTAACCTTTGAGCCAGATGGCCCTCTATATGGGAGGTCAAACAGGGAGATTATCCTTTAATGGTGGTTACTCTGGACAACGGTACCTGAGCTTTAACTTTCTAAGAACTACTCTCTTAACCATGTTAATTATCCACAAGTGTATTTACTCAAAGCCTTTGCTGTAAAACCTATACTAATAAATGCGAGGAAGGAGAACCAGGGGGTGTCATGCAGTTGTGATCTCACTCTGTGGGAAGTGTATGACTCCCTAGTCCACTTGTTCACTATACTCTGTTTGAGTGTATTTATTCATGTTGCAGAATCAGGGTCTGCAGGACTGACACCCACAGGTGGTGAGCCCGATATGACCAACATCGCAACCTACCCTCTCTGAGATTCCTTTTTCCTCTGTTTCAAAGGAAAATATTCCTAGTGCATATGGTTGTGACGGTTGTGTAAATTTTGTAAATTTTAAACTATTAATATAATTGTTAATAGATGGCATGGCCTAACCCAACTTGTGTCAAAAAAAAAAAAAAAAAGACAAACAGAAAAGAGTACCACCAAAAAGTAGAGGTTTTTGGTTTTGTTTTTTGAGATGGAGTCTTGCTTTGTCACCAGGCTGGAGTGCAGTGGCACGAACTCAACTCATTGCAACCTCCACCTCCTGGGTTCAAGCGATTCTCCTGCCTCAGCCACCTGAGTAACTCAAAAATCATATTTTAAAACCACGTATGTTACAGAGCACATATGATCAATCAACATTATTAAATATTATTAAACCATATCATTTTAAAATAGAATAAAATTAAGTAATCAAAATATCCTCAATATTTTTGCCTTCTTGTACGGATTAGACCAGAGCAGAGGTTCTCAGTCAGTAGATGAGTCAGCATCATGTGGAGCACTCTTTGAAATATAGATTGCTGAGCCCACCCTGAGAGTTTCTAACTTAGTAGGTTCAGGGTGGGCCTCAAGAATTTGTACTTCTAACAGGTTCTCAGGAAATATTACTACTACTAGTCTGGGCACTGCATTTTGAGGACCACTGGACTAAAGAGACAGCTTTTTAGCTACTAGCAATTTTATCCAATCTGCGCTAGTACAAAAAATCCACTATTACATTTAAAAAAACATTTGTTAAAGGCCTATTCTGTGCCAGGCACTGTATTCCTGAATAAAAACAAGAGATCCCTGTGCTGTGATGCTTACAAAGTGAGGGACATGGGCAATCAACTATGAAACTAGTAAGTAAATTACATAGTTTGTGAGAAGGTATAAGTACTATAAAAATAAGGAAAAAGTAAAGCAAGGCAAGGGGGATTGGGATTGCTGGGATAAAAGTAGGAGTATAATTTTAAATATGATGGCCATAGGAGATCTTATTGAAGAGATGACATTTGAGCAAAGACCTGAAATTGGTGAAATAGGGAGTCAGATGCTTATCTGAAGGGAGAGTGTTTAAGGCAGAGGGAAGAGCCAGTAGGCTAGAATAGGGTGAGAGGATTAAAGTAATAGAGAAGGCCAAAGAGGGAATAGGAAGCCTGGCCATTTAGAGCCTGGCTTTTACTCTGAATGAAAGAAGAGATTCACTGTAGGGTTTTGAGTACAGAAGTGACATGGTTTGACTCAGATCTTAAAGATCATTCTGGTTGACAGTATACTGTAGGGGCACATAGGTGGAAGGAGGGTGACCAATTAGTAGGCTATTTCCATTATCCAGGTAAGGGATCAAGGTGGCTGGGACCAAGGTGGTAAAAAAAAGATGGATTACAGAATATGGTTTAAAGGTGGAGATAATAAAATTTCTTGTTGGACTGGGTATGGGGGTATACAAGTTAAAAAGGAGTCAAATGTGACTCCAGTATTTTTAGCCTGAGCAACCAAAAGGACAGATTTGTCACCAAGGACTGCTAAGCTCTAGGACACTCTACTGTTAAAAGGTCAAAGAAAAGAGAAGGAATCAGAAAGTAGACTGTCAATAAGTAACCCATGAAACAAGTGAAGAGAAGAGAACAACTGTGGAAAATGCTGCTGATGGTTCAAATAAGACTGCTTCTGAGAGTTGTTCACTGGAATTAGCAAGGTGTCAGTCACTAGAGACCCTGACAAGAGCAGGTTGGGTAGAGCAGCAGGGTCAAAAACCTAGAGTAAACTGAAGATAGAATGGAAAAAATTAAATTGGAGATACGATTATAAGCAGCTCTAATAAGGCAATTTTGCTCTTCAAGAAAGAAAAGAAATAGGGTATAGCAGGTAGGATCAGAAGATAGTTTTTATTAAGTTGAGAATGCTTAAATGATATAGGAGTTAAAAAACATTACTGATTCTCACTTTTGAGATGCTTAACTAGAGAGAGAGAACAAGAACAGGACTGGAAGAAAAGGTAGCAGGTATATTTTGTCACCATGCTCTATTATAAAATCAACATTAGTCCATTTATCAACATGTGCTTATTGAAATATACTTTAAAAATCCCTAAGTATTTTCACAGGTAATTAAAAAGGTATTCTTCTTTCAAATAGAGTGTTTGATGTGAACAGGTAAAATTTTACACATTTACTATAAAATATACTAGAGATGTTTTAAATGCACACTGACCTTAATGTTAATACAGCAGTAACTATAGCCACATTCCAGAATTATTATCCATATTAAACGATCCTCAAAACGGCCCAAGTAATGAGATCCAGGTAGGAGGAGACCTACAACAAATCAGAAAAGAAAAAAAAAAAAGAAAATCATTTTTCAAGTTTCTTTTATTTTGCTATATGTCTTCAAAACTGAAAACACATATAGAACTGATTCACAACTCCTACCCTCTCCTTAGGTCAAGAACAGAAATAACTATTCACTGTGTACCAGTAGGCATTAAGTTAACTCTTTACAAGAGCAGTTGGAACAGACAATCTACAGGTGATAATACATAAAAATTCAAGGATTTTCCAGAAAAACAAATTAGAAATCGTATGAAATTTTAAATACATGTTAATTATATTAGGAAAAGTTTTGAGTTTATAGAAGTCAACTTCACAGTCATGACTTAAATATTTTTGACATTTTTATATACATGTATATAAAAGTGTTTTGTGGCTTACAAAATGCACATAAAATGCTACAATACTGTACAAATACTTTTTAGTTTTTCTCTAATTTTTTTTTTTTTTTGAGATTGAGTTTTGCTCTTGTTGCCCAGGTTCGAGTGCAATGGCACAATCTCAGCTTACCACAACCTCCGATTCCTGGGTTCAAGCAATTCTCCTGCCTCAGCTTCCTGAGTAGCTGGGATTACAGGTGTGCACCACCATGTCTGGCTTTTTTTTTTTTGTATTTTAGAGATGGGGTTTCTCCATGTTGGTCAGGCTGGTCTCAAACTCTCGACCTCAAGTGATCTGCCCGCCTTGGCCTCCCAAACTGCTGGGATTAGAGGCATGAGCCACTGTGCCTGGCTTTCTCTAAATACTTTTATCTCTGAGATTTGCCCACGTCAATGGCAAACAGCTAAAATTTATTTATTGTAACTGCTGTTGAAAATATACCATATCAATGTAACTGAATTTGGGTATTCATCTCCTCATTGATAAACTTTTCAGATGTTTCCAACTTTTCACTGTTGTAACTAATGTTGCAGAAATTATCTTCGTGCAAGTCTACTTGCACAACATGTGGTTCAGAACAGTGTTAACATACCAGAACTGACTGCTGTTCTTCGAAAGGCCTGCTTATATGGCTGGTACTCAGCTGGCATCTGGGAACCCCCTAGCTAGTTAAGAGTCTCTCATGTGTCTAACTGTACAAACAATACAATATATCCTGAACACCTGCTCTCTTTTTGGGATTCTGGAGTACTGGTACGTGCCAGGCAGAAAGTGCCTGCATGACCAATCTGCAACAAAAGCCCTGGGCATTGAGTCTCAAAATGAGCTTCTCTGGCAGTTAGCATGTCACACATTACAACTTGTTGCCAGGGGATTAAACACATTCTGTGTGACTCCGTGCGACTGCTGGAGACTTGCACCTGGTCTCTTTTACTCCTTGTGATTTCTCCCTTTGCTGATTTTGCTCTGCATCCTCTTGCTGTAATAAATTTTAGCTGTGAGTCCTCCTAGGGAACCATCAAACCTGGGGTCGTCTTGAGGACCTCCAAGACACATACACTAGAATTTCTCTACAGTTGGAATCACTAAATCATGGAATCTAAAATTGGAATCCCTGAACCATGGGATATGTACATCTTTACTACAGACTACCAATTAACTCTTCAAAGTGGTTGTATAAATTCCTTATAGCAAGGTTTGAAAGTTCTTGTTCCCCAGGTCCTAGCCAATACTTCGTAGTGTCAAACTGTTCACATTTTTGCCACTTCAATGTATGCGAAATATTATCTCATTGCTTTTTTTCTCCCCCCATCAGAAACTACTTTATAATATACTTCTTGATTGAGTGTATTTGGTTTGATAATAAAGTATAATTTTTAGATAATTACTATTTCTGATGGGAGTTTAACCCCACAGGTGTTTTAAAAAGAATAGCATTACATAATGAAAATTAATAGCACTGCACAAACGTATTTTAAGTATAGACTATTTTCTATAAAATGATTATTCATAAAAATTTGTACAAAGATAATTTTGTCTCATAAATCATCTCACATATTAATTAGAAAAGTTCAACCCCAAGTGTTTTATTAAAATTGTAATCTTAAATTGCTACTCTACCTAGAATGAGTTTGTCAGAAAGTAATCTGTCATTTTAAAAACAAGTTCCAGGGGCTAAAGCACATGGTAGGAGATGACACACTAGTGTCAACTTATACCTTATCTAAAATCAACCTTGAGAAGTATAATATAGTTAAAATTTACAGTTAGTGTTTGACAAAAGCATTAAAACTCATAAGATTAGTTCACTGTCATCAAAAACCTATTTTCTTGCTAATAACTGCATAGCACTTCACTTTGGGAGGCTACCTTTCCTACTGATCACTCACCAAAATTACGTTATCTTCCCCAGTTATCTTGTCAGACTGCTTAACTTTCTATAACTAGTAAGGTATATATAAACAAAACTCCCTTCTGCTCCTCAAGTTGGTATTATGTAAAGCTAGTTTTCACTAAACTTCATGAATGTAAGCTATTGCATCTACTTGACATAAACTCACTATAAATTCATGGAAATCATGAGCCACGGTTGCTCAGGCCAGTTGTCCTGGTGCATGAGGAGGCAAGGCTATGTGTTCAAGGTCAGCCTGGGCAGAATTGAAAATTCTCATCCACTAAAAAAAAAATTCATGGAAATCCTGGAAGAAAGGTGTTTCCATGTTTCAATGGTGCAAATGTAATCTGAATTTATTCAAGAAAATGTATTTAAAAAATTATCAAATAATCTTAAGAAAAACTTTCCTAAGTATTTTTATTTTATAACTTAATTCAGATGAAAATCAGGATCAGGAGATAAACTTCTAATTTCATATTTAGTCGCTCTGCCTACACATCAAAGTGTATGGTTGTTACGCTATATTATGGTTGGATAAAAAGATTTGTTTTCCTGTTTTTTTTTTTTTTTTGTACTTTAAATACATTAGTGAGAAATTTTTAAGCACAACCCATTAACTTACCTAAACTTCCAGCTGCCATTGCAGTCTGCAGCACAGCAGTCAACCTGGGGACCATTTGGTAGTAGTACACTGTATCTGCACACACACAGGCTGTGGTGCCTGCTGCTCCTGGCCAACTCTGTATAGGTCGGGGAAACCCCACCAAGAACAGAGGAAGGGTGAAAAGGGGGAGTAAGGGAGAAGAGAGTAGTGTAGAAAAAACTATGATGACCAAGACGAATGGAGAAAAGACAATGTTGAGAATACATAAGGTGGTAGTTCTTTTTCGACGTTGTTTTTCCTCTGTCCATGATGTCAAAAGAACAGTCACAGCAAACTGCAATTTAGAGATGAACTGAATCAAACGATCACGTACGATACCAACCTGCAGAAATGTAAAAATTATTTTTATTTATCCTTAAAGATTTTTTGTGAATTTTCAAGATCACATAAGAAAGACTATATAGTAATTTCATTCTGCCCCAATATTTTTTAAGAAATAGATCTTATCCTTTGATTCTTTGTTAATTTTTCTCCAATCTCACAATAAATGAGAATACATTCTAAAGTTTGGACTTTCTTTAAAAACAAACAAACAAAAAGAAAACGGTAACACTAAAGAAAACTGACGTGTACCAACTATGCTTTAAGGTTGACCACTGTAGGCCACAGATTAGATAATGCAGAGATTGACAAGTTCCTAGAAAGACACAAATTACTAAAACTGGCTTAAGAAGAAATAAAAAATCCAAATAATCAACAAAAAGTAAAGAGACTGAATAATTTTAAAACTACCTACAGAGAGAAGCTGAGACTCAGGTGGCTTCAATACTACAAAATACTACACAAAAACACTTTAAGATACTACACAAAACAATTTAAGATACATATTGAATACTACAGAACATTTACAAATAATCAATACCTATTCTTCACCAACTTCTACCAGAAAATAGAATAGTATGGAACACTTCCTAACTCATTTTATAGGATCAGTGCTACCCTGATACCTAAACCAGGCAATAATATACAAGGAAAGAAAACTAGATAAATATACAATTTTATAAATAAAGATGACAGACAATATAGTAGCCCACCAAATTTTGCAACATATAAAAAGGACTACACATTACGGCTGAGTGCGATTTATTCCAGGAATACAAGGTTGGTTTAACAACCAAAAATCAATCAACATATTACACTACATTAATAAAGGACTAAAAGCACATGACTATTTCAACAGACACAGAAAAAGCATTTGACAAAATTCAACACCATTCATGATAAAAAACAAATTTATTTTGGCTTCCCTGGACAGACTGGAAGAAGAATTGTCTTGGGCCACACATAAAATACATTCGCATTAATGATAGCTGATGAGCTAAAAAAAAAAAAATTGCAAAAACACCCTACCTCATAATGTTTCAAGAAAGTTTATAAATTTCTGTTGGGCCACATTCAAAGCCATCTTGGCCCACATGCAACTGGTGGGCCACAGTTTGGACAAGCTTGATTTACCTAGTAATGGAAGGGAACTTCTTCAACCTGATAAAAGCATCTATAAAAAAATTCTTAGCTGATACCACATTCAATGGTAAGACTGATATCATACTTAATGGAGAAAGACGGAATGCTTTCGTCATAAGATGTCAATTCCTACTCCTCCTGCTCAACATTATGCTGGAGTTACTTCCATTGCAATTAGGCAAGAAAAAGAAATGAAAAGCATTTAGCCTAGACAGAAGAGAAGTAAAACTATCTCTTAATTGCAGATGACCTGATCTTATACATAGAATATCCTAAGAACCCACTAAAAATCTATTAGAATATGGGAGTTCAGTGAGACTCCAGGACATAGGATTAATATTTTAAAAATCAACTGTATTTCATACTCTGATAATAAGCCAAAACATGAGATTAAGAAGACTTCCATCTATAGTATCATCCAAAATAATAAAATACTTAGGAATAAATTTAAGAAGTATAAGACTTACACACTGAAAATTACAAAACATTGTTGAAATAAACCAAAGAAGATCTAAAAAAAATGGAAAGACATCTCATGTTCATGGATTGGAAAAATATTTTAAAGATGGCAAACTATCCAAATAGATGATGGCAATGCAAGGGTCCCAAACAATCTTGAAAAAGAAGGACAAAGTTGGAGGACTCACACATCCCAACTTCAAACCCTACTACAACTTACTATAACTAAGCGAGTATGGTGCTGGCATGAAGACAGACATATAGATGGATGAAAGAGAACTCCGAGTAGTCTAGAAATAAACTCTAACATTTCCAGTCATTTAATTTTTGACAAGCTTGCTAAGAAATTCACTGGGGGCACAAGAATAATTTAAATAAATGGTGGTAGGGCAACCTGACTTTAATGTGCCAAAGAATAAATTTGGAGCCCTATCTCATATCAAATCCAAAAATTAACTCAAAGTAGATCAGGCTCTATGTAAGTGCTAAAACTATAAAAGTTTTAGTAGAAAACAAAGTAAATTTTCATGACCTTGGAGTAAGCAGTGTTTGTGAGATATGACACCAAAAACAAAGGTGACAAAGGAAACATATATTAAACTTCATTCAACTTTTGTTCTTCAAATGATACTATCCAGAAAGTGAAAGATAACCTACAGAATAGGTTGAAAATTGGAGAAAAATTGTTCATTGTCAAGAGACTTTTATCTAGAGTACATAAAGAACTGTCACAGCTCAACAACAGAAAGGTAAATAACCCAAATTAAAATGGGCAAAGGATTGGAATAGACATTTTTCAAAACAAATACACAAATGACCCCAAAACACATAAAATATTGATCAGAGAAATGCAAATCAAAATAACAAGGTGGCAGTTCACACTCATTAGTACGGCTATAATGAAAATGTCAGATAGTAACAAGTGATGGTGAGGATATGGAGAAACTGGAATCCTCATACACTGCTGATGGGAATGTAAAATGGTGCAGCTCCTCTGGAAAACAGTTTTGCAGTACACTGAAGCACTAAACAAGGAGCTCCTATACAACCAGAAATTCCAGTTCTAGGTACATGTACCCAAGATAAATGAAAACACACATTCACAAATAAACTTGTACACAGATGTTCACAGCAATATTCTTTTTAATAGTCAAAAGGTGGAAACATCCTAAATATCCATCATCTGATAAATCAACTAATGTACTAACCAAATGTAGTATATCTATAAAATAAAATCGTATTTGGTAATAAAAAGTACAGTCATGCATCACTTAATGACAAGGATGTGTTCTTTTTTTTTTTTTTGAGATGGAGTTTTGCTCTTGTTGCCAGGGCTGGAGTACAATGGTGCAATCTTGGCTCACCACAACCTCCACCTCCCGGGTTCAAGTGATTCTCCTGCCTCAGTCACCTGAGTAGCTGGAATAACAGGCATGCACCACCACGGCTGGCTAATTTTGTATTTTTAGAGATGGGGTTTCTCTATGTTGGTCAGGCTGGTCTTTACCTCCCCAACCTCAGGTGATCTGCCTGCCTTGGCCTTCCAAAGCGCTGGGATTACAGGCATGAGCCACAGCACCTGATCAGACAGGGTATGTTCTAAGAAACATGTATTGTAGTATCTTGAAGCATTAAACATAGAGTTCCTATACAATCAGAAATTCCAGTCCTAGGTATGTATACCCAACATAAACAGAAACATATGTTCACAAATAATGAGACTGATCATTGAGTGAGCATCACAGAGCATACATACACAGACCTAGGTGGTATAACCTACTACATACTAGGGTATATGGTATAGACTATTGCTCATAGCCTACAAACCTGTACTGAATATTACAGTACTGAATACTGCAGGCAACTGTAACACAATGGTAAGTAGTTTTGTACCTAAACATTGAAACTGTACAGTAAAAATATATATTATAAAAGATAAAAAATGGTACATTGAATAGAGCACTTACTATGAATGGGGCTTGCAGGACTAGAAGCTGCTCTAAGTTAGTGAGTGAGTGGTGAATGAATGTGAAGTCCTAGGACATTACTATACACTACTGTAGATATAAAAAACACTGTACTCTTAGGTTACTCTAAATTTATTTTCAAAATATTTTTCATTTTTCAATGATAAATTAACCTTAGCTTACTACAACTTTTTTATTTTATAAACTTTCTTTACTTTTTGACTCTTTTGTAATGACACTTAGCTTAAAACACATTGTACAGCTGTACAAAATTTTTTCTTTGTATCCCTATTCTATAAGCTTTTTTAAAAAAAATTTAACTTTTAAAACTTTGTCAAAAATGAAGATACAAAAACACACATCAGTCTAGGCATACAGAGGGTCACATTATCAATATCACTGTCTTCCACCTCCACATCTTGTTCTATTGGAAGGTCTTCAAGGGCAATAACATACATGGAGCTGTCATCTCCTACGATAACAATGCCTTCTTCTGGAATACCTCCTGAAGGACCTGCCTGAGGCTGTTTCACAGCTTTTATTTTTTTAATATGTAGAAATATGCTCTAAAATAATGATAAGAAGCACAGTAAATACATAAACCAGTAGTTGCTAATTGTCAAGTATTACATACTGTGCACAATTATATGTGCTATACTTTTATATAACCGGCAGTCCAGTAGGTTTGTTTACACCAGCATCACCACAAACACATGAGTAATGTGCTATGCTACAAGGGCTATGCCACTAGGTGATAGGAATTTTTCATCTCAATTATAATCTTATGAAACCACTGTTGTATATATGGTCTGTTATTGAATGAAGCGTTCATGCAATGCATGACTGTACTGACACGTTGTTACATGGATGAATCTTGAAAACACAAAAGTAAAAGCCAAAAGCAAAAGATCACATGCTACAGAATTTCATTCATGTGAAACATCTAAAATACATAAAGCTATAAAGATAGAAAGTAGATTAGTGGCTGCTGGGACTGGAGTGGGCAGTAGGTGAGATGGAAATGGGGAATAACAATTGAGGTTTCTTTTTGGGATGTTGAAAATGTTCTAAATTAGATTGTGGTGATGACTACAAAACTGAATATACACCACTAAATGGATAAATATTATAGTATGTGAAATATATTTCACTAAAGCTGTTTAAAAATACATTTACCAGTAAGAGTCTGATTCCTGTATCCAGGTTTCTGTTCCACCATATGTCTGCACTGGAGATCAAGTGTATTGTTGATACAATAACTGTCTCTATTAAAGCATTTTCTGTATTCTGCCATACCTGCGGTATACAAATTATCCACTTTTATCAGGTAGAATTTGATAATCTAAGCAAACTATTAAGCAAAATTATAATAAAACTTAGCAATAGCAAAATACTATTAAACACATATTAGGATTACCATTCTAAAAGCTCTTGTGAATCCAATAGAGACAGACACTGAGTGGAGCCCTTGTAAGGAACTGTCCAATGAAAGAAATGCTATCATAGCAAAAGGTGATACTAAAACAAAACAAAACAAAACAAAAAGAGAGAAATTTAATTAAGGCAAAATAGCTCCTTCTACCATATTTTATTTTGGCAAACATACATTTTCATAAGCACATTTAAGCAATTAACTAAAAAACCTAACAAACAAAAACCAAAACATAAAAGAACAAACACTTTTAGGTAGTATAATACTATACAAATATGGGAATTCAGCAATACTTTAGGATACTTGCTGGATATGATTTATAACACAAGGTTAACAGACTTTATCTCCCTACCTAAAGTTAGCAAAATCCGTCTGACAATACCAATCTTCATGAGCCTGGTTTGCTTCTCTAAGAATACAGTCATAATTTGGACATCCTTTGGATAAAAAGGATTTCGGAAAATTCCAAAGATATACAGGCTTTGAATTTCCCTAAGTATCCACAGTATGATAAGTAATATCATCAAACCATAGCTCACAATAGCCTGGGAACTGCTTTTGGAAATCTGTGAGAAGCCAGCAAAGTGATGAAGCAAACTAGTTTCTAAAAGAGCCAAGACTAAAATAATGATGTAGAAAAGGCATTCCTTCCATATAAAATGTTTTCCTGGACTGCTGGGTAAATCCTTAGATTTGGTTCCAATTTTGTGACCTATGTCACTTAAGTTCAGACTCAGCAGGAAACCAAATCCAGTCATGAAGAGAACCACACCAACAGTGCTTGAAATGAAATATGATGTTATAGCTGTTCCAGCAGACAGGATGAACATTACTAATAACCTGCAGAGGAAAAAAAGAAAAAAGATTTACTAGAAAAGAAAAATGTTATTTAAAAATATGTTACACATAACATCAATATTTTAAAATGAATACCGTAAGTGGGTTGACATAGATGAGCCTCCAAGGCCAAACTCTAAAACCTGCTCCATTGCCCATAAGAAAAGTGCATCGGGAGGGGGCAGAGTCCCAAGTGCCCACAAAAAGGGTAAAAACACAAACAAGATGTGTAAAATCTGATTCATGTGTTCTAGAGCTGGTATATTTACTAGAAACCTATAAAAAAAGGACATTTAAATCACACAAAATATATAGAAGAGAATCTTTTAAGGAAAAGCAAAACACAAGGTAACACACTCCCTTCCAAAACAAACCAAAAAAAACCACCCCCCCGCACACCCTCAACACAGAAAAGTCTTAATCGCAACTTACAAATGATCCATACATATAAATTGTGACAACTGTCCTTCTACCTCAGCAACTACCCCTACTCAATTGTGTACAAGCTTAGCATTTAGACAATATATGAATTCAAATGTGCAAAGGAGGAGGAAATAATTAAAAGCCATCATTGAATAGCAAGAAAACTGAATACAAGAATTTGTAAAACTGAATAACTGAGGCCAGAGCAAAAATATTTCTCCCCTAAATGTCTAAACTACTATATTGGCTGAAATTCTATCAATGATTCTTCAGAGTTTAAGATTTTATAATTTAAAATTAGCTGGGCATGGTGGTACATGTCTGTAATTCCAGCTACTCAGGAGGCTCAGGGAGGAGAATCACTTGAAGCTGGGAGGCGGAGATTACGGTGAGCCAAGATTGTGCCACTGCACTCTCACCTGGGTGAAAGAGGGAGACTTCATCTAAAACAAAACAAAACAAAGAAACAAAACAATCTTTTTCAGCCTCTACCCATTACCTAAAGCCATTTCCATATTTTTAGGTATTTGTTACAAAGGCATCCCACTTCTTAGTAGCAAAATCTTAATTGGTGTGGGCTGCCATAACAAAACACCATAGGCTGAGTAGCTTAAACAACAGAAATTTATTTTCTCACAGTTCTGAAGGCTGGAAGTCCAAGATCAGGCTGCCAATATAGTCAGGCTCTGGTGAGAGCTCTCTTCTTTGGCTGCAGGTGGCCACCTTATTGCTGTGTCCTTACATGACACAGAGAGGGAGAGATCAAGCTCTCTGGTGCCTCTTCTCATAAGGGGATTAGTCCCTTCATAGCAGGGACCTGCCTTCATGACCTAATTACCTCCCAAAAGCCTCGTCTCCAAATACCATCATATTAGGGTTTAAGACTGCAATATATAAATTCTGGAGAGACACAAATATTCAGTCCATAACATGCCTGAACATTTCTACCTGGACATTAACCTAGGAAAAGAAAGTTGCAATCTACAGAAACAGAAATAGAAAGTCAAACCTGAAAAGGCAAGTAAAAGAAACTATCGAACAATTTTGTGAACAATTATGTTTGTTAAAAAAAACCACTATTTTCTACTTTTGTAACAAGTCGGTTTTAAAAATTCAGTATTACTTCTATTGTTGCTATCACAAAATTAGAAATAAATTTTCTACTTGTCTTCAATTCACTTGATCTGTATATAATATTTATGTGTATAAATTTTAAATTCTTCCTTTTCTCTCCACAGGAAAGTTCCATCTCCTTACAGGTTTCAGCAACCCAAAGCTTCTTATTTAAAGTGAAACACAAAATTGAAAAGTTCCTTCTTTATCTCAAGAAGGTTTTTAAAAAAAAAACAACTCTTCAATAAGTTTTAGCTATTGCTTTAATATGTTTTAGAGATCAATCCTAAAAGAATTATTAAAATAACCTGTCACCCAATGGTTCGATGATTTTTAATTGATAGATTCATCTTTTTAATACTAAAAGGAAAGCTCTCTTACGCTGTATTCTTAAAAACAAAGCAAGTTACAAAATATTTGGTAGGTTTTTTTACCTGTGTGCCAGATCCACAGAAACAAAGAAAAAAATATAAAGCGGTCTCATAAGAGGAGTAATTTCATAAGTATCCTCTGTTTGAAAAGTTGCAGTCTCTGTAGCTGTGTTTACAATTAATGAATATTCTCCTATACATAATGTCATCCATCCAAAGAAGAACAGTAGAGTAGTGCCTCCTATACTGCCATACAGCAAGGTTATTCTATTTGGGAGCAGATACCATGTTCCAAGACCACATATTAATCCAGCAAGAACAGAATGAAAAACTGTATTGGGTATATATTTCTTGCCAGGAATTAGAAATCTGACAGTCTCAGCACCAGCACAACTTGTAAATTCATGCTCATCCTCCTCTGCTAAGACATTCATGGTTGGTATTCTTTCTATTGTTGCTGATTTGCTTCTGGCATATAAACTTGTGAACTGGATGACAAATGCAGTAAAAAGCATTAATCCACCTGAAAGTGCTGCTGTATAATAATCTTTCAGGATGCCTAACTGGTACAAAAGTGTTCCAACTCCACCCCAAACCCATGGCATTAGAAAGAGAATAATTTGATTAACATATATGTAAGGAGGGGCACAATAGCCTAATTTGAATCGAGGGCCTCCAAGAACAGTCTGTGGAAAGCGCTTCAGAAAGAAGTCCTGCTTGTAATCATTCAGTAGAGGCACATCTGGACTCATCATCATTCGGGATTATTCTGAAAGTCACATGCTTTTCTGTAACACAGCAGTTTCTAAAAAATAAAAATTAAAAAAAAGTCACTGTTTGAAAATGTCGTACTTAAAACCTGTGAGGAAAAACCTCACATTTTTATTTTATCACCTTACTTCCTTCAAGGGTAGGATTTATAACTGCACTTCTCAGACCTCTTCCTGACACATACTTGATGCTAAGTTGTTAGTTTTTATAAACAAAATTAATACGCTCAGTTATTTTTTTGAGAGACAGTCTCACTCTGTCAGCCAAGCTGGAGTAAACTGTTGTGATCACAGCTTACTGCAGCTTCAACCTCCCAAGCTCAAGTGATCTCCCACCTGTGCCTCCTGAGTAGCTGGGATTATAGGCATATTCCCCAATGCCTGGCTAATTTTTTATTTTTTGTAGAAATGGGGTTTTGCCATGTTACCCAGGCTGGTCTTGAGTATCTGGGTTCAAGCGATCCTCCTGCCTCACTTTGCAAAGTGCTAGGATTACAAGCATGAGCCACTGTGTTCAGCCTTATTTTTCATTAAAAAAAAAATCATCACATTCTTTCTTAATTTATAACTTAATATTTGGAATTAGACTTTAACTCACATATTTAACTTCTGAGGTCAATGGTAAGTCCAAACTGCCAGTACTTTCAATTCAAATCAATTTAGGTTACTTTTATTTAAGAGCCATATAAATTTAAGTATCAAATAACAGAGGTTCTCTTCAGTTCAACTCTTCCTTATTCCTTGCAGCTTATTCTGAAAAATAATTACCCTACACAAAACCAGCTAGCAAAGTATTACTTTGGTGGATCATGTTAGGCTAGAAGGGAAAAATAATATTTAAAACCATCTTAAAATAGTCTTTCTTCCAGTCAGTTCAAAATTAGCCTTTCCTCTAGTCAATTCTACCTAATCAGTATCAATTCTGGAGAGAGATTTGGGGCAGCATGAAAAATTTGGGAGTCACCTTTAAGAATTAGTACATTAGATCACCTCTTTGTTATACTGCTATAAGTTTTTTAAGAAGTTTTAAAAATTGTAAACATCTATCTTTTTTCTTCTAATCACTGGTCTTAGTTCTGCACAGAATGAATCACAGCTTTTACTCACATGACACCTCCACAAGTACAACTAGCCCTCCCGTATCTGTGAGTTCTGCATTCGTGGATTCAACCAACCACAGACAGAAAACAATCAGGAAAATAACTGTATCTGTACTGAACATGTACAGGTTTTTTCCATTATTCCCTAAATAATAAAGTATAGCTATTTACATAACATGTACATAGTATTAGGTATTATAAGTAATCTAGGGCTGATTTAAAGTACAGCAAGGAAGTGCATAGGTTATATGTATATTAGCCATTTTATATCAGAGACATGAACATCATTGGATTTTGGTATCTGAGGGAGGTCCTGGAACTTAACTCTCACAGTCACCAAGGGATGACTGTACTCACAAACTAACAGAACTACAGGGCCAAATCGAACCTTAGTGATCTACGGGGTCAATCTTAGGGAATGGAAAGAGTTCCTCCTTCCCCTCTGTACACAAGCTTGTCTCCTGCACTGATGTCACTGTATGATACTCCACTACAATTGCCTTATAGAAACCAAGGAGTAAGAAAGGTCACCCTCCTGTGGGAGGGAATAAGCATTCTGATATCAGTTATCTATGGAAGATGCCATCAAACAGGAAAATGAACTTGGACGGATGGTCTGGGTTTTGAAGAATCTGGATGTGCCTGGAATTTCTCCAAAAAGTTAGGCTAAAGTTGGCCCTTCTAGCTCTACTGAGATAATTCAGAAACAAGGTAGAGTGGCTTCCTGGGAAAGTAAAGATACTTTACAAACCAGATTATCTAACTGCATGTTAGTATTCCTATTCATTTCCCTTTTAGTATTTCTGGGTCTTTTGTAAAGTTTTGTTTAAATGTTTTCATCCATTTGATGAAATAATCTGTGATCATATTCCAAATAGTGGAATATCTGAAGTGTTATTATCGTAGAAACATGCAAAAATGCCCATGATATACTGAAAAGTAAAATAAACACACTACTGATTCAATTTGTATCCAAAATAAAGAGTATACACATCTGTGTATATAGAAGGTTTTATACAGTTTGCATATGCATAAAAAGTTTCAGAAGGAATATTAACTAAGCTGTATTTTATGTGTAACATTTAACATCTCTTCAAATTACCAGATGTCCTCCAGAACTCTCAACATCACACCCCATAAATACATTGTGTTTTTCTTCCACCAAACTCATGCTCTCTCCTTTGCCTAGGATGTCCTCTCCTCCCTTCCCAAATTAGTGACTTTAAGCAACTTTTAAGACATTTCTGAAAATTTTGCAGAGCAGTTTAGTCTAGCTGAATATCTCTTCTCTCTGTATTCTAAAACCACTGCTTGTTCTACATACTACAAGGTGTGCATCACAAATCTGAAATCCAAAATCCTCCAAAAGCTGAAACTTTTTTTTTTGAGATGCAGTCTTGCTCTGTTGCCCAGGCTGAAGTGCAATGTTGCAACCTTGGCTGCAACCTCTGACTCCCAAGTTCAAGCAATTCTCCTGCCTCAGCCTCCCAAGTAGCTGAGATCACAGGTGCACGCCACCACGCCTGGCTAATTTTTCTATTTTTAGTAGAGATGAGGTTTCTCTATGTTGGCCAAGCTGGTCTCAAAGTCCTGACCTCAGGTGATCCACCTGCCTCAGCCTCCTGAAGTGCTGGGATTACAGGCATGAGCCACTGCACCAGGCCAGCTAAACTTTTTAAGTGCCAACATGATGCTCAAAGGAGATGCTCATTAGGGCATTTCTGATTTTTGGATTTGGCATGCATAACTGGCATAATGCAAACAGTCCAAAATCTGGGGGAAAAAACCCAAATCCAAAATACTTCTGGTCTCAAGGAATTTGGATAAAGGATACTCAACCTTGTAACATGTAGTAGTATAGGGCATTTCTCATAGTAACTTCTTATATTGTTCACCTCTTTACATTTTATCTTTTCAGATTTATTTATTTTCTCTACTAATAATATGCTATTTGGCATAGGAGCTGATATGATTTGGATGTTTCCCCACCCAAATCTCATCTTGAATTGTAGCTCCCTTAATTCCCATGTGTTGTAGAAGGGACCTGGTGGGAAACAATTAAATCATGGGGTTGGTTTCCCCCATAGTGTTTTTGTGGTAGTGAATAAGTCTCATGAGATCTGATGGTTTTATAAGGGGAAAACCCTTTTGCTTGGTTCTCACTGTCTCTTGTCTGCTGCCATGTAAGACATGCTTGTCACCTTCTACCTTCTGCCAGCAATTTGGTACTGGGGAGAGGGATGCTGCTGTAAAGATGTGCAAAAACATGGAAGTGACTTTGGAACTGGGTAAGAGGCAGAGGTTGGAACAGTTTGGAGGGCTCAGAGGAAGACAGCATAGAAACCAAATTCACAATTATTAAAAGGTTTGCCCCAAGTGAGAATTTGGCACATGGTTCTGAAAGACTATTAATTCCCAGAAGAACTAATGCATTAGTTCTACATCTCTACAATATTCAAATAAAAAAATGGCTCAGGACAGGAAAAAAACTTAAGGGATTTGAAAAAAGAACTTGATGTTTAAAGATGACATCATAACACTGATTTAAGCCATATGCTTTTTCCATATACTACTCTGAAAGTGAGTCAACAAAACAGCCACAGAAATGTTGCTTTATTTGGAATCTCAGTCACATTTCTTAAGCATTACTCAGAAGAGTAAGAAACAGAGATCAATTTGGCAATGCACTGGGAGGGAAATCTTAGTTAAAAAACTGTATGTAACTCAGACATATATAACACCACACTAAAAATCTGTTAAACAAAAAAACAAAAAGTGGCCACGTTTTTGGATTAAATATGTAGTTTTCTAAGTTCAACAAAAATTTTTTCAGAAGTTGTAGCGATTGATTTTTGTTTAGTAAATTTTTTTAATATATCGTATTATTTTTATTGATTGGTTGATTTCATTTATTCATTTATAATCCCTCTTTTTTCCTGTATTGTTAAGATTTTGATTTTTTATTGTGGTAAGAACACTAATATGAGATCTACTTTTAAATATTTAAGTACACAACACAGTGTTGTTAGTTACAGGCACAATGTTGTACAGTAGAGCTCTAGAACTTACTCATCTTCCATAACTAAAACCTCATACCTGTTGAATAGCAACTCCCCATTTTCCCTCCCCTCATTCTCTAGCAATCACCATTCTACTCACTGATTCTGAGTTTGTCTATTTTAGATACCTCACAAAAGTGGAATGTAGTAGTTGTCGTTCTGTGACTGGCTTACTTCACTTACCATAATGCCTTCAAGGTTCATCTGTTGCTACACATGGCAGGGTTTCCTTTTTGTTTGTTTTTTTTTAAGGCTGAATAATATTCCATTGTATGTCTATACCACATTTTCTTTAACAATTTATCTGCTGATGGATATTTAAGTTGTTTCCATGAATAATGCTGCAATGAACATGGGAGGGATTTCAATCATTTTGTATAAATACTCAAAAGCAAAATTGCTATATCATATGGTAGCTCTATTTTTTTTTTTTTTGAGGAATCTCCATCCTGTTTTGGTATAGTGGCTGCATAATTTTGCATTCCCACCCAGCATACAAGGGTTCCAATTTCTCCATATCCTCATAAACACTCATCTTTTGTTTTTTTGACAGTAGTCATCCTAACAGGTAAGGTGATATTAAGGAGAACTTCTGCACTGAGGCACTTGTCTCAACTATATTTTTGTTATACTTTCAGGAGACTTAACTATCTTCTAATAAATCTGTAGAAACTTATGAAATCATTGCTCACTTTTTTTTTTAACTTCTAGGAGCTCTTCTTTAATCTGAGTGTTCCTTTTTATGAAACTGTTGATGAAAGAGTCGAACTCTAAAAAATATTTTAAGAGATTTATTCTGAGCCAAATATGAGTGACCACGGCCCATGACACAGCCCTCAGAAGGTCCTGAGAACATGTGCCCAAGGTGGTTGGGGTACAGCTTAGTTTTTTTTAGGGAGGCATGAGACATCTATCAAATACATTTAAGACATACACCTATACAACCATGGGCTACTATGCAGCCATAAAGAAGGATGAGTTCATGTACTTTGCAGGGACATGGATGAAGCTGGAAACTATCATTCTCAGCAAACTAACACAAGAACAGAAAACCAAACACCACCTGTTCTCACTCATATATGGGAGTTGAACAATGAGAACATGTGGACACAGGGAGGAAAACATCACACACTGGGGCCTGTCAGGGTGTGGGGGCTAGGGGAGAGAGAGCATTAGGAGAAATGCCTAACGTAGACGATGGGTTGATGGGTGCAGCAGACCACCATAGCACATGTATACCTATGTAACAAACCTGCACGTTCTGCACATATATCCCAGAATTTAAAGTGTAATAAAAAATGAAAAGAAAAAAATAGAAATACATTTGTCTCGTTTAGAAAGGCGGGACAATTCAAAGTAGGGGCTTCTAGACTGTAGGCAAATTTAAACATTTTCTGGTTGACAATATATTGAGTTTATTTGAAGACCTAATCAACAGAAAGGAAATGTTTGGTTAAAATAAAGGATTGTGGAGACCAAGTTTTGTGCAGAGGAAGCTCTCAGCAGACTTCAGAGAGCAGGTTGTAAAATGTTTCTTATCAGATTTAACAGGGTGCCTGGCTTGTAGCCAATTATCTCTTGGATCTGGAATGTAGATTTTTCTTACAAGAGGCTTTGCAGGGCAATTTCAAGGTATGGCAAAAAAATATATTTTGAGGTAAAACATTTTGATCTTATTCCTTGTTATGCCAGAGTCAGACTGAAAAGTAAGTCACACTATACAGGGATAAATAAAACCCATCTGATAAGAATTTATGATGTGTAAGGCGTGACTCTCCAGACTCCTTAGACGGGAATTTAGGCAAGATTAAAAAATCAGGTCAGGCACGGTGGTTCATGCCTGTAATCCCAGCCCTTTGGGAGGCTGAGGTGGGTGGATTACGAGGTCAAGAGATCGAGACCATGGAGAAACCCCATCTCTACTAAAAAATACAAAAATCAGCTGGGCGTGGTGATGTGTGCCTGTGGTCCCAGCTACTCGGGAGGCTGAGGCAGGAGAATTGCTTGAAACCAGGAGGCGGAAGTTGCAGTGAGCCAAGATTGCGCCACTGCACTCCAGCCTGGTGCCTGGCAACAGAGCAACATTCTGTCTCAAAAAAAAAAAAAAAATCAGAGCAGAGTCCTCAAAATACTATTATTGTTTCATCAATATGATTTAAGAATATTAATTACAGCTGGGCGCGGTGGCTCATGCCTGTAACCCCAGCACTTTGGGAGGCTGAGGCAGGTGGATCACCTGTGGTCAGGAGTTCAAGACCAGCCCGGCTAACATGGCAAAACCCTGTCTCTGCTAAAATTACAAAAATTAGCTAGGCGTGGTGGTGGGTGTCTGTAATCCCAGCTACTTGGGAGGCTGAGGTGGGAGAATCACTTGAACCCAGGAGGCAGAGGTTGTAGTAAGCAAGATTGAGCCACTGCACTCCAGGCTGGGTGACAAAAGTGAAACTCCATCTCAAAAATTAAAAGAAAAAAAAATTATGTGTATGTATATATGTTGTGGGTGTGTAAATTTTTTTTTTTTGGTAAATTGGCTTTCATGTCCTTTGCCTATTTTTCTATTGGAGTGATCATTTTTTATCATTTTTCTTATGAATTTGGAAGAACTCTTCATATATGAAGGGCATTAACTCTTTGACATGACAGTTTTCTTTTTTTTCTGGGTTACCTTGCCCTTTTCTTTCCTTTTTTTTTTTTGAGACAGTCTTGCTCTGTTGACAGGCACCAGGCTGGAGTGCAGTGGTGCAATCTCGGCTCACTGCAACTTCCGCCTCCTGGTTTCAAGCAATTCTCATGCCTCAGCCTTCCAAGTAGCTAGGACTAAAGGCATGAACCACCACCCCGGCTAATTTTTTTTTCCAGTAGAGACAGTGTTTCGCTATGTTGGTCATCTGGTCTCAAACCCCTAGCCTTAAGTGATCAACCTGTCTCAGCTGTGGGGTATCGTTCAGAGTGGTAGCAAAAACCATAGGAAAAGCACACAAACCTTCTGAAAGGTGGGAAGGTTCTGCAGAGCCCCAAGGGAGAATAGCTGAAGGTAGCTATTCTATAACCCTGAGGCAGAGGGCAAGGGGTAGGTACAAGGGAGTATAGGGGACTTGATCTGAGACAGATAAATTTAGCTACTAGAGCCAGGCAGTAATCTAGCTGTTTGCATACCTGTATCTGAGTACTCATTTCATCACTTGGCCAGGTTCTGTGGGACAGACCTGGCACTCAGTCACCCAAAGTGCTGGGATTACAGGCATGAGCCACTGGGCCTGACCATTACCTTGCTCTTAAAACACTGTTGGAAGATACTAGAAAATATTAAAGATTTAAATTTTGATAGTTATTAAATATAGGTCAAATGTGTTACCCTTCTTTCTATGGAGAAACAGCTAGAAAATAATTACTTCGTACAATTTAAACTTTTTAATTACAAACTTTTGAGTACCTATGATATGCTAAATGATAATACTGCTATCTCTAACCCAAAGGTTACAATCCAGTAAATACCAAAGACAAAAGCCACACAATTATCTCTAAATTATTACTTCCTACAATTTAAACTTTTTAATTACAAACTTTTGAGTACCTATAATATGCTAAATGATAATACTGCTCTCTCTAACCCAAAGGTTACAATCCAGTAAATATCAAAAACAAAAGCCACACGATTATCTCAATAGATGCAGAGAAAGCCTTCGACAAAATTCAACAGCCCTTTATGCATAAAACTCTCAAGAAACTAGGCATCGATGGAATATATCTCAAAACAATAAAAGATATTTACCACATACCCACAGCTAGTATCATACTGAATGGGCAAAAACTGGAAGCATTCCCTTTGAAATCCGGTACTAGACAAGGATGCACCCTCTCACCACTCCTGTTCAATATGGTATTGGAAGTTCTAGCCAGAGCAATTAGGCAAGAAAAAAAAATCAATGTCTCAGCCCAAAATCTCCTTAAATTGATAAGCAACTTCAGCAAAGTCTCAGGATATAAAATCAATGTGCAGAAATCACAAGCATTCCTATACACCAATAACAGACTAACAGAGAGCCAAATCAAGAGTGAACTGCAATTCACAATTGCTACAAAGAGAATAAAATACCTAGGAATACAACTAATAAAGGATGTAAAGGACCTCTTCAAGAACTACAAACTATTGCTCAAGGAAATAAGAGAGGGCACAAACAGAAAAACATTCCATGCTCATGGTTAGGAAGAATCAATATTGTGAAAATGGCCATACCGCCAAAAGTAATTTATAGATTCAATGCTATCCCCATCAAGCTACCAATGACCTTCTTCACAGAACTGGAAAAAAGTACCTCAAACTTCATATGGAACCAAAAGAGAGCCCACATACTCAAGACAATCCTAAGCAAAAAGAACAAAGCTGGAGGCATCACACTATCTGACTTCAAACGATACTACAAGGCTACAGTAATCAAAACAGCATGGTACTGGTACCAAAACAGAGATATAGACCAGTGGAACAGAACAGAGGCCTCAGAGGCAATGTCACACATCTACAACCATCTAATCTTTCACAAACCTGACAAAAACAAGCAATGGGGAAAGGATTCCCTGTTTAACAAATGGTGTTGGGAAAACTGGCTAGTCATGTAGAGAAAGCAGAAACTGAACCCCTTCCTGACACCTTACACTAAAGTTAACTCCAGATATATTAAAAACTTAAACATAATACCTAGCACCATAAAAACCCTAGAAGAAAACCTAGGCAAAAACATTCAAGACATACACACAGGCAAGGACTTCATGACTAAAGCACCAAATGCACTGGCAACAAAAGCCAAAATACACAAATGGGACTAATAAACTCCAGAGCTTTGGCACAGCAAAAGAAACAATCATTAGAGTGAACCAGCAACCAAGAGAATGGGAAAAAATCTTTGCATTCTACCTATCTGACAAAGGTCTAATATCCAGAATCTACGAAGAGATAAAACAGATTTACAAGAAAAAAACAAACCCATCCAAAAGTGGGTGAAGGATATGAAAAGACACTTTTCAAAAGAAGACATATATGAGGCCAAAAAACATGAAAAAATGCTCATCATCACTGGTCATTAGAGAAATGCAAACCAAAACCACATCAAGATACCATCTCACACCGGTTAGAATGGCGATCATTAAAAAATCTGGAGACAACAGATGCTGGAGAGGATGTGGAGAAATAGGAACACTTTTACACTGTTAGTGGGAGCGTAAACTAGTTTAACCATTGTGGAAGACAGTATGGCAATTCCTCAAGGACCTAGAAATAGAAATGCCATTTGACCCAGCAATCCCATTACTGGGTATATATTCAAAGGATTATAAATCATTCTAT